TTGCTCAATGATCTCAATGGCCCCTCTGCCCGTGCAGAGAGGTATCGTTTGAGGGTTTGAGAAGGCTGGAGCACCTCGCTAGCAAGTCGACGAGTGGAATGGCGTGAGCTCCATTGGAGCTTGCGATGTAAGTCCAGAGAATTTTGGCGTGGTGTCGGGGCCCCACCTTGCATTGCGTGTGTGATCAAGGCAACGACTTCCACCGTGTGAACCAGAGCCTTTGGAAGTATTGCCCGAAGCGCAGCCACAGCGGCTTGGTTAGCACCGTAGGTCTGGGCTATTCAGCACTGTGTTTTTTGTTGCTGGACGCGGTAACGTTTAGGGGCAAGGTTATATACAGGTTGTGTCGCATGTCCATCAAATTCCATTACTTTGCAGCTTTTTCAACCTCCGCTTCACCTCTTCGCTCACTCCAAGCTTATGCAGATCCTTTCGAGTGCACCTCTACCAGCACCCTCCCGGGCCTTATCCTCCGTGGTTACGCTGAGTGCCGGCTGTTCCGAGGCAACCCCTCGGCGGTGAACTCCTCGATCGCCGGGCCCCGAGGGAGCCCCCGCTTCTTTAGGGCCCCGAGGGAGCCGTAACAGCCGTCATGTCCAGATCACGGGCTGATGATGATACGGAACCTGACCATGGGTGTCTTGATCCTCTGCGTCAGTTGCGCTGCACCGTGACCAGGGTGTTGGGATTGTGCGCCTCCTGGCCAATGACCACATTGCCAACGGCTGCACCTTGCCCTTCAAGATGCAGCCTGTCTGCAGCTGTGGACGTGTTGCGTCGGTTTGGCGCTGGGCTTGTGGAGATGCTTGGGGTTTCCGGGCTCAAGTTTCCAAGCCTGGCTCCAGGCCCTTGTCGATCCCCAAGATCACCAGACTCTAGGCCCGAAGCCCAACTGCACACCGCACACCTGCGTCCCAAACTCCAAAGCCTCAGCTTCTTTGCGCCCTAAGCCTCGCAAGCCTTCGTCCCAACCAAACTCCAAAATCTTTAACCCTAAACCTTGACCGAAGCCTCCCCCCTGTAAACCCTCAATTGCAGAACCCCTGTTAAACCCTCAGGGAACCCCAAACACTCGAGCCCGCAGTCGCAAAGAGGACCGCCTTCAATGGCTCGGTTTTGCACCTGGCCCAGGAGGACAGAAGGGGACCTTTTGATGCATTTTCAAGTTCCCAGCGGACCCAAAAATCAGTTCGAAAACCCTATTAATGTCTTAGCAGAGTCCTCCACCCTACTTCCGACGTCAAGGGATTCAGTTCGTCGGTTACAAAGAGGGCCTTGACTTGGGACAGCCCTTCCCCCCATCTAGGGCTTCCCATGCTTCTGTGAATAGCCTCATTATTTGTCGTGTCGAGGCTTTCATTTTGGGGCGGTTCCATTTAAGCAGGTTCAGAGTTGTGGGGTTCGAGGGCTCTGATCCGTCGATTTTCTCGGCTTCGGGCCTTCAATTAGGGGATTCGGAAGCCCCCACAGAATTCTCATAGGATCCTTTATAAATGTCCCCCGCTTACAGTAGGTAGGTGTTCAACGCAGAATTCCACGGACCAGAAAAAGAGAGCAAAAGGAAGCCATGCAAAATTTTCGGCTACCGTCCAACCTGTCAGGGTGACATGCCGACCTCCTGCATTGATGCCAAGTCCTTGGTCAAGGACGACATGGACAAGTCGTTCGGCTTGCATGCAGTAGGGTCTACAGTTGAAAGTTTTGCTTGCGGGATGTTGATCTAACAGAGATCAGGAGAGATGAGTCAGGCATGGAGTGGAGTTGGTTAAAGGATTTGAAGGTCAGACGAGTGCCCGGGGGGGTTGCCGACATTTGAGGGCCTGCAGCTTGGGGCAGCTTCCGTGGGAATGGAATAGTTGAGTCTCCAGCCGTCAACCCAAAACGCCCAAGCCTTTAAAGGCTAAACTTCACCCGCAAGCCCTAAAGCTGAGTTGTTCAGGCTGTTGCAGACGGCAGAGCTTGAGACTCGTCCACTCAGACCTTGCACCTTCGTTAATCGTATGTTATGGAATTCCTAACCCCAATCAGACCAGTTCACCAATACAGGGCTCGAAGAACCAGCAACAGCACTCCCTACGTTCCTATGTGCTTCTGCTCCCAACTCCTAAAGCGCCAACCTCAAAGTCTAGACCCTGAGCTGAAGCTCCTGAGGTGGTTCAAGGAGACCGACGGCCGCGTGCCCAAGCTGGAGTCCAGTGATCCGGTCTGCGTGCTGAAGGCACGGCTTGCCAGGGCTCGAAGAGCGTGTTTTGCCAGATGTCATGCACCATGGACAGAGCTTTTTCGCTTGCGACGACAGGAGCGTGGCATGACGGCAGATGCATGGAAGAAGCTGCGCGGACAGCACCAGTTTTGTTTCAGCCGCATTCGAGGGCTCTAGCTTTCAGGACTCGCAGCCGTGAAGGGGCACCTTCACGCAGACCTGCTGCACGCCAGATCCCAGGAAAAGTGGCCCCAGCACCATTGACCGGAGCAGCACCGCCCCTTGCAGGCTCCGTAGCCAGCCAGCCAGGAGCCTCAAAATCCTTCAAGTATTTCAAGAGTAAACCCCAAGATCTGTAAGACACCCTTGCGCTTCAAGCCTACGGACCCCCAATGAGCCCTAGAAGGCCCTCCCCCAAAAACTCCCTCCGCCTCCCAAAACCCCAGGCTTCGCCGCATCGCTCCGCCCTGCCGTGGCTCGACGGAAGTCTCTTCGGGGCCAGGGGCTTCGGAGATTTGAGGCTGTGGGGTTGAAGAGATCGGGGGCTTCGAGGGTTTTAGCTTCGGGCTTGGGCAGCTTCGTCATCGGCAGAGCCTGCCCTGACACGACCTTCATCGAACCCGAAGAAGGGCACCAGAAGGGTACTGGGGGTGAGGTTAGGGCTTTCAGGGACATCGAGGTTGAAGGCAAGTTCAAGGTCCTCAAAACTCAAAGCCCTAAACCCTGCACTCCACAACCTCAACCCTGAAGCTCATTGCTGGGTCTCGGAACTCGGGTCTTCGCTGAGATGAAGTTGAATTGTTGAGGGTTGTAGCACTTGCACCGCCATGTCGACTGAGGACCTTCAGACTTGCAGGCGGTCCAACAGGGCCAGCAGGGCCAGCACGCCCAGCAGGGCCAGCAAGGCCAGCAGGGTCAACGCGGCCAGCAGGGCCAGGGTCAGCAGGGAAAGCAGGGTCAGCAAGGAAAGCAGGGCCAACAGGGCCAGCAAGGTCAGCACGGCCAGCAGGGAAAACAGGGCCAATGGGCCCAGCAAGCTGGGAAGCAGGAGGCCTCCAAGTGAGCGCCCCTGAGCCAGCAGACGTCACGTCTTGCATCGCTCGGGTGCGATTCCCGGGCCATGCCATGCCCGGCATTTCGAAACTTTGGATTTAACTTGTCCTCGCAGCTTGGGTCCTCGGATTCTTTCATTTCTTTTTTGGTTTGGAGGTCTTCATTGGCTTCGTGTGCTTCCGTTCTCTGCGAGGTCGAGAAGCGCGGCCCTCGCAAAGGGCTCTTTTCCTCTGTGGCCTTGAGGGCGGAGAGGTCCAGCAGATTGTTTGTGTTCGAGGCATCTGAACTACTGAACTAGGGAGCCCGTCCGGGCTGGCTTTCCCCAGATTCTCGTGATGTACGCAATCAGGTATCCTGGCTTCCGGACAAGAGTTACCAGAAGAGAAACTGGAGAAACGTGGAGTCTGAAGTCATTTGCATGATGTAAGTAAACTCCTACTGATCTAACACAGTAGCTTCAACGTCAACACTTTGGCACCGCTCCTGGCTGTAGTCCCTCTACATTTGTCGTACATTCTACTCTCAGCCTACATTCGTCCAAAGTGACAGGAATGAAGCTATAGTATGCAGAGCAGTCGGTTTGCTTCCCTCTTTCCTCCGGTCGCCGTCAAAGCCACTTAGAGCTTTAGCTGTGCCGACACCTCAAAGAGGTCTCGGATTTTGGTTCCGCGGTTGTGGTCCGTCTCCCTACAAAGCTGGAGCCACGGCCACAGCCCCAAGACATCCCTTGCTTGGGTATTGCTTTCTGCCCAGCAAAGCCTAAAAATAGAAATACATTCTTTACGGATCCCTTTTCAAGGGCTTTTTGTTCGCACAATGCTGTGGAGCTTTCTCGGGTGATTCTGAGCCCGTGGGCTGGTCACAAAGGTGACAGTCGTTCCGGTTTGGTGTTCGGGGTGTTGGGGCGCGTATCTTCGAGATTCGGATTTCGGCGCCTCGGCGGAGATGCGGGGCCCGCGAGCTCGATGGAGGTTGCTAAACCGATGGAGGTTGTTACAAAGGAATGGGTTCAGGGGTTCAGGGGTTTCTTCAATTTTTTGGGGTTTCGGATCTGGGGTTTAGGATGGAGGGCTTCGGGAGTATGAGTGCGATGAGGAAGATGTCTTTTAGCCCTGCAAGGGGAGATTCAGGCGACCACAACTGCTTATTTGGAGGAACGAGAGGGCGCCAATGGCTGCCAAGTGCTTTCGCCAGCAAAAAAAACAGATGTGCCTTCAGCGCTCAGGGACGATGACACCCGGAAGCGGTCCGCTGAAGCCTTGGGTTGCCGTCAGTTGCAATGTAGGGCCATGCCGACTCTGCCGGATGTGAGACTCCATGGGCCATGTGAGGCTCGCCAGTTTCTGTGGCCGCAGCCATGGTGTCTTTGTCTTTGCTGTTGCTTCTGGTGACGGCTCGTGCCTTGGTCCTTCCAGATGTGGTGGAGGACGTGGCCGAGGCCGTGGAGTTCCGGATCCCGGTCCCCAACGCGTCTGCCTCGCTGCAGGGCCGGGCCGTGGCGCTCGACTTCGCCGTCGGAGGCCACGTGGCTCTGAAGGCTCGGCCCCCGACGGCGCTCGCAGAGAACCCAGCGTGGCTCCCCGACAAGGAGCAGATCCAGGAGCTGTCTCCAGAGCAAGCAGGGCAACGGCTGGGCTTCTTCGTCTCGGCGCACATCCTCGCCTGGATGCTGCTTTGCCTCATCGGCACTGCGATCATGACGCGCTGCTGCGGCAGATGTGCAGATTCGTCAGGGTACGAAAGGATGGCTTTGGGCGGCGCCTCGACTGATTCGGATGACTCGGACGAGCCTCTGCTGCCTCGGCCGCTGAACACTGTTGATGTGTGGCTTGCATTCCTTGGCACCTACCTCATTTCGCTCGTGGCGGTCTTTGCGAGCCTTTTCTCCAACAGGCTGTCGAAAGCGACGGGACTGGACTTCGAGGTCTACCTGGTCTTCTTTCTCCTGCAGGGCACGAGGCTGCTCTGGCAGGCCGCCACGGCCACCAGGAGCTTGAGCCCCGGGAGGCGCTTCCCGATGGACACCTTTGCCTTGGGCACCGTGGCGGCCACCATGCCCTTCCTGGCAGACACCTTCGACACATTGAAGGATGTGGTCTTCGCGGGGCTATGCATGCTGTCGGAAAGCTGGGCGTTGCGTCTGACCGGATTTGCCAGCCTCGCTTGGCTGCCGTGGGTACACTACAGGCTGCTTCGTGACACCGACTGCGTGGCGGACCTGTCGGGCAGTTACTTCCCTTTTGCCAGCGCGCAGCCAGTGGACGATGAAGCCCAGGCTGCAGAAGGTGAAGGGTGCTGCTGGCCGAAGGTAGAAAAATGCCTGCACGAGCTTTACAAGCAAACTACGCCGGGCAAGATCAGGCTTCTGCTTTGGGAAGCCGGGCCTCAGGGTGTCTTTGCCCTGCTCTATGTCTTTATCGAAGGTGGATCGAAGTTTGTCCCCTTGATGCAGCTGGCAGTTCCACTGCTCCAAACAGCCTTGGGCTGGTTAGGCAACGAGCAGCTGGGCCGGTGGACCATGCGCTCCACAGGGAAGCGCCTGGCCGGTGCCTTCGCATCCGGCAACATCCCGCTCCAAACGTCTCTGCTGCAAACCATCTTGCACGCGGAGGCAGAGCTGGGAGACACGGCCCTGGCAGAAGCGCGCAGGGGCATCAACCCCGAGCTTCTGACAAAAACGACTTTGTCTGGGACCGATCTGGAGGGCCTCAGTCTCTGGGCTGTCGGAGCAGTGGTTCGCCTCAGCAAGACTCTCCACACCATCGAGAGGGCTGGTTCGCCTGCTCAGTCCAATGACTTCGTGCCCCTTGGTGTCGAGGGCGCGAAGGCCCGGAGCTTCCGGTGCTTGTTCGCCTGAGCACGGCATCCCCTTTTTCCAGGCCCTGGCTGCGGCCCTTGAGCAGAACGCGACCGTCGCTCACATCGACCTCCGTGGCAACAGAATTGGTGAGGAGGGCGCCAAGGCCCAGAGCTTCCGGTGCATGTTCGCCTGAGCACGGCCTCCCCTTTTCCAGGCCCTGGCTGCGGCCCTCGAGAAGAACGCGACCGTCGCTCGCCTCGACCTCCCCTTCAACAAAATTGGTGACGCGGGCACCAAGGCCCGGAGCTTCCGGTGCATGTTCGCCTAGGCACGGCATCCCCTTTTCCAGGCCCTGGCTGCGGCCCTCGAGAAGAATGCGACCGTCGCTCACATCAACCTCAGGACCAACAACATTGGTGTCGAGGGCACCAAGGCCCAGAGCTTCCGGTGCTTGTTCGCCTGAGCACGGCATCCGTTTTTCCAGGCCCTGGCTGCGGCCCTCGAGAAGAACGCGACCGTCACTGACATCTACCTCAGCGACAGCAACATTGGTCACGAGGGCGCCAAGGCCCGGAGCTTCCGGTGCTTGTTCGCCTGAGCACGGCATCCGTTTTTTCAGGCCCTGGCTGCGGCCCTCGAGAAGAACGCGACCGTCACTGGCATCTACCTCTGGAGTAACGAAATTGGTGACGAGGGCGCCAAGGCCCAGAGCTTCCGGTGTTTGTTCGCCTAGGCACGGCATCCCCTTTTCCAGGCCCTGGCTGCGGCCCTCGAGAAGAACGCGACCGTCGCTCACATCGGACTCAGCGACAACAGAATTGGTGTCGAGGGTGCCAAGGCCCGGAGCTTCCGCTGCTTGTTCGCTTGAGCACGGCATCCCCTTTTCCAGGCCCTGGCTGCGGCCCTTGAGAAGAATGCGACCGTCGCTCACATTGACCTCAATATAAACGACATTGGTGTCGAGGGAGCCAAGGCCCGGAGCTTCCGGTGCTTGTTCGCCTGAGCACGGCATCCCCTTTTCCAGGCCCTGGCTGCGGCCCTCGAGAAGAACGCGACCGTCGCTCGCCTCGACCTCCCCTTCAACAAAATTGGTGACGCGGGCGCCAAGGCCCGGAGCTTCCGGTGCATGTTCGCCTAGGCACGGCATCCCCTTTTCCAGGCCCTGGCGGCCTCAGGACAGTGGCAGCTGAGATCACGAGAAGAAAGGCTTGGTATGACCAGGCGCAAATCCCTCGCGACCTGACGTGACGTGATTGCTTTGCACACAATGCTTGCAGCACCCGCCTGTTCAGATAATAAGATCAGCGAGATGTGAACTCACTCCTCCTCGTGTTTGGATTTCGGTATGCAAATTACTTCAGAGATTGTAAAGGAAGAGTGAAGAGTGTGACCAAGCGTTGCTTGTGCCAGGCAGGGTTTCACGCGATGATGGCTCATTGCGCCAGGGGGAATTTCCCCGATCCCGAAGGGACATGGTTTCCCCAGTCAGGCCCCAGAGCTTGCGCAGCGAACTGTATGAAAACTTTCTAGCTTGGTGCTACTGACATAGTATACTGAGTATTCAGAATCCTCACGTCGCGCAGACTCAGGCCTCAGGACAGTGGCAGCTGAGATCATGAGAAGAAAGGCTTGGTATGATCAGGCGCAAATCCCCCGCGACCTGACGTGACGTGATTGCTTTGCACACCATGCTTGCAGCACCCTCCTGTTCAGATAATAAGATCAGCGAGATGTGAACTCACCCCTCCTCGTGTTTGGAGATGCAAATTACTTTCAGAGACTGCAACGGCAAAGGAAGAGTGTGACCAAGTGTTGCTTGTGCCATGCAGCATGCCCGGTCATTTGTGGTCATGGGACTGCGATACTTAAGTTCCATGTTTGTTTGCGCGTGTGTGGCTTCGAGTACGGCTGCTGTGGATGCATGCAGTTCGACGAAAGTGACGCCTTCTAGGTTGCTCCAAGAGTGCAAAGCTGCAAGGACAGATAGTCCCCAACTGATCACTGCAGCCAGCTCGCGATACCAAATTGAAACCGTGTAGATCTGTTCCTGAAGCCATGATGACGTGCAGTCTGGCAGTGCTGTGCCGTGTCTGCAGCGGGATAGCATTGTCTAGGTCAAGGAGCCGGCGCGATGCGATAGCCCGAATAGCAAACAGTATTGTTGTTGCAAAATTGCTACGTATCTTCAGAGTCATACTACGGAAGGCTGTTGTTGAGAATCGAGGTCATCTAAGTCCGTGTAGTTAGCGGCTTCCTTGCCAGCTTCGCTGGATGGGATGGCCAAGTAGGAGATGGTTCGTTCAGGCTTTCAGTTCTGTAGCCGGCAAGAGAGGTTGGAATGGGAATATCGACCATCCGTGCAGAAAAGTGTTGCTGTCCAGTTGATACGGACGGGACTTTGAGAAATAGCCGCGATGCTGAATCCTGAACCTCAAGATTTTCAGCTGTTCGATGCAGGGAGCCCTCGATATAGGTCTCAATTTGCTGGGTAGACTTCAGGGTCTGACTTGTCCAGTGTATTGTGGAAGCAGCCTCCTGCCAGCATTCGTGGCCGGATTATCCACGGGGCTTCTGATCGGAGCCGCCTTCACTGCCTGGATTTTGATTCGCCCTACTTTGCCCGAGACTTATATCAGGCCTCCTTCGAGCTCCCCTGTGGTGCGAGCTCGTCATACAGACGCAAGCAGCCGCCTTTCGGGGTACTTGCATGATTGAGGGGGAGTCAGAGCTGAGCTTCCGAGTTGGTAGAATTTCCGTGAGTCTTAGGGGTCCGCCTAGGGATTGCGTGAGCCTGCAGGAGCACATTGCTCGATACTTCGAGGCTCCCTCTACCTCTAGGGCCTCTGATTCCTCTTCAGGATATCTGTTGATTGACCCAGTGGCTGACTCCCCTGCCTCTGAGAAGCCTACGCCTACACCGCCTCGGCATTTTCCGGTGGAGACAAGGAGCGACGTCCTTGCCTCATTTCCGCCTTTGCCTGAGCGTTGGTCTAGCCTGGCCCACCAACTGCATAGTGCCCAAAGTTCGGGGATTGATCGGATTAGGCGTGCTTGGGTTGCTGGTCAGTGGGCTTCTGCTGCTCTTGCTGGTAGGGTCAACACTCCCGTCCATACACCCGTGCTTAAAATCCCTTCAAAGCACTACATTGTGTTGCGAGCACCAGGGCTGGAGGCGCCCGTGCTGGTTGGAACATCCAAAGCCTATTTTGATATTGTGGGACGGCCTTTTGCCCGCTCCACCATTTCACATAGTTTCCCCTCCATCCTGGAGGTCCGACTGTACTGTGACGCCGCAGGTGTTGCCGCCCCACAGCCGCAATGAATCTTTCAGAGGTGTCAGAGTGTGCGATCAGCTCCCCGTCTTCATTCATTCTCGGGTGGCCCGAAGAAGAAGGTGGGCCCCCGACTTTGGAAACTCGAGTTGTTTGCCTCCTGAAGAGGCAAGCTCCAAACAAAGGTCTTTTGCTTGCTGTGCCCTCCCATTTCTTCGACGAGAGTTTGCTTATCGCAGCCCAAAGTGCCCCTCCTTCAGAGGTACTAGGGCCTTCGGAGGTGTTCGAGTGTGCTGCAGCAATCATTGCAGAAGATCAGCTAGTGGAGCACAGCGCCCGCCTGGGGGTGACTGTTATAGACTGCAACGAGGAGATATGTTCCAGTATGAGAATTGCCGAAATGCCCCTGCCAGAGGGGGTCGAATCTTTCGACCAGCAGGATCCCTCCCTAGTGCCCTTCATCCCCAGCCTGCTGCCTCAGGTGGACCCATGGCTCCGAAACTTGGATCGGATGGAGTTCTACTCCCTCGACGAGGGGGAGCCGGGGCCGAGGCCCAAGCAGAATGCAAAGTCCAGGGCCAAGGCCAAACAGACGCCGGCTCAAAGGACAATGTCTGCAGCAGCTATCGCCGAGAAGTTGGAGGCCGCGCTGGCTGTGCTTCCAGCCCTAAACACAAGGCTGGACGAGCTCACGGAGAGGCAATCTCGCCTCGAAGCAGAGGGCAGGGCTCAATCATCCAGCTCGAAAGTCCCCCTGCACACCCAACTAGGTTTGCCGATGGAGGCTGCTCAAGGCAAGGAAGTTCCCGTGAAGCAGGTTGTGAGTTTGGTTGGGCCTCCCCCGAAAAGAGGCACCGAGGTCCAAAGGCTCTCCAACGACCCGGAGCCGCCGAACGTAGTACAGGAAGCACAGGAGCATCTAGGTCCCGCGGAGGAGGGCAGCATGATGCAAGCACTGATGACTCAGTCCGCTGCCCTCACCTCTTTGGTGAGCCACCTCGCTCAGCAGAGCGGGGGAGACCCTCTCCTGGACCTGCAGGCTTCAGGCGCTTCTGCAGGCGCGCGTGGCTCCTTAGGAAGGGCAAAGCTTCAGGCCGAGTTGGCTTCCAAAAAGGGGTCCTTTTACACAAAGGTGTTGCAGGCAGCGGCCCGCCGGATGGACCCAACTCAGAACTGCGAGGCCGAGCCAGCCGAGCTCAAGGAGAGGGGTCTGTCAATGACCAAGTACGTGGAACGCTTCGGGGGATACGGTCAAGTGCGAAACATTGCTCTGATCCAGTGGCAGGTTTGTATTGCCCTGGACTTGGCACTGGCCGGTCACACGGCGGGATGCCTGGATGTTCTTGCTCCACTATGTGTATGTTTGGAACAAAGTGCACTCGACGCAGGGAACATGGACATAGGCTACCTGTTGTGTCTTCAGGAAGAGCCTCCTGCCGCCATCATGAGCAACCGCAGCCTAATGTCAGTAGGTGGCAGGCACCGAGCTTTTGCTCCACTGTCGGATCAAAGGTGGGTCACCACCTCACTTGCATTCCTCCGAGAGCAGGACCTCATCGGCCAAAGGAGGTCCGACGTGGCAACGAATCGCCAGCCCTCTGGCGGGGACCAGGACGGCGAGGAGGCAGGGTGGAGGAAGAAAAAAGCAAAGGCAAAGGCAAAGGCGACCTGGCAGAAGAAAACGGAGGCCTGACAGGCCTGTGCCGCGATGCCTACCCCACCCCTAGTTTTGCTAGTGGTTGGGTTTTTAGTTCCCGAACCCGTGTGCCGTGCCAGCCTCAGAAAAATCAGGGCCTTTGCATGCCTTCCTTTCCTCCCTGTGCCCCTAGGGTTCCTAGTACCCCTACCCTAGGACCCTGTAGTACTATCTCTCGCGAGCGACAGGTGATCTCTCTCGCGAAGACCATCCCCACCTCTAGGGTTGTTAGTTCCCGAACCCGTGTCCATGGAGATGGCCTCCGAAAGGGACGCCCTATATCTCTTGAGGAATCCTTGCCCGACCCTAGTTTTGCTAGTCCCCAGGCTAGTGTGTCAGGTGAAATGTGCCTGCCAAAGAAACAGAACGCCTTGCCTTCCGGGCTCCCTTGCGACGCCGAGGTTGCATCTAGGGGTTTTCCTCAGAAAACCCATACTTGCGACGCCGAGGTTGCATCTAGAGATTTTCCTCAGAAAACCCATACTTGTGACGCCGAGGGTGCATCTAGGGGTTTCTCTCAGAAAACCCATACTTGCGACGCCGAGGCAGAGCCGGGAACAGAGCAGCCAGATCCTGCTTCGCTCCTGAATGCCGACCACCCCCCAGCCAACCCTACTATCCAGGCGCCGCACAGACATTTACAGGCTGCCTCTGTTCCTTTAGTTTGCCGTGACCGGCCAAAAACGCCACAGCACAACGAACGCTCCGAACAAGCTATGCATGTTGCTGCTGCTCTTGACTTTGACGGCAGTATGTCTTTTATCGAGCTTTTGGCTGGGTTGCCTCGCCGCATCCTAGCCTGTAATACCAAGTTCTCTCGCTTCCTTGCGAGCACTTTTCGCCTGCAAAGGAGCGGCGCGTCCGCCTCCTCCTCCGCGTTGTTTCCACTCCCGGTGCCCTATCCGGGCGTCTTCGACAGGAGTGGCCCGAAGATGGCACAGGGACGTTTCAAGAGCCTCGTGCTCAAAAGGGGGGTGCATATCGTGACGATGTGCCTCAACTACGTCTTCTGCGGGAGGAATTGGACTCCCCTCGCCGGCCTTCTTCTTCCCAGGAAGTGGTCTACGACCGCGGCGGCTTCTCTGCGCGTGTGGCCGTCTTGCCCCCCAGGTCCCTACGTGTCCTGGGCAGCGGAGCCATGAATTGACTGCATGTCTTCAGAACCTTGTCGCATACGCCGGCCAGCACACCCCGACTCCCGGCTCTGGGTATGACACCCAGGAGCCTCACGGTGTTGCAGAACAAGTCAGCCCTGACCGCCCAGAGCTTCGCCCCTACTCCAACCTGTGTGCCTCGCGACTGAAGATATCCGGCACTGGGCACTTTTTGGCCCGTGCCTTACCTTCAGCCGAACCTGCTTTTGCCATTCCTCGAGCCTCGAATCCTTCGCTTCACCGAAAGCGAGCCTGAGAAGCCCCGCCCTTCCCGCTGCACGGACTCACCGCAGGAGCTTCTTAGACTGTACGCTCGATGGAACCAGCTTGGGCTTTTAAGCTTTTCGGAGGAAAAGGCAAAGCAGTGGCAGAAGGTTCGAGTTTTTAATGCTCGAAAAAGTGACACCCAGGACAGACAAATTGGAGACCGAAGGTCTTTCAATGCCACAGAGCTGTCAGTGGACGGCCCGTCGCGCGAGCTCCCGCCAGGAGCACTGCTGTGCAACAATTGCTGCGGCCTAAATGTTTGCTCTGTGGATCGATAACTGACAGGAGAGATTTTTATCATCAGATAATGACATCTCCCGAGAGAGCATCCTGCAACCCCGTCGGTCATCGCCTCCCCCTCAACGTCGCGAAAGGATTCGCTGATTGCTGTCCCGTTGAGAAGGAAGGTATTAATCACCACCGGACCTGGCAGGAGCGCATCTCCTCACCTCCTCCCAAGACACTGCAGCCTGTCTTTACCAGCATCTTTCAAGGTGATCACGTTGGGGTCGAGGTGGCTACTAGTGCTCACGAAGGAGTGTTGCAGGAGGTTGATTTACTTGATGATCAGTCCAGGCTCCGGGGAGGGTACCCTTGCCCTCCAGGGCCCACCTACCTTGGACTGATCATAGACGACTTTTTCACCCTCAGTGAGGAGCGGCTTTCCATGCTTCATGCGATCAAGGCAAATGGGCCCGAAGGCTCCCACAAAGTCCAAAGCCCTCCTGGACAAAGCCCTTGTTGCCTATGACAGGCTGAATATTCCAGGGTCCTCGGAGAAGGACCAGTTGAATGAGCTTACGTTCATAGTCGCTGGAGCCCAAATTGACTCCAGTGAACAGGCGATTCGGGACAGCATGATCTCAGTTGCTTCTCCTGCTGCGAAGCGGTGCGCTTTGTGTCTTGCATCCCTGGCTGCAGCGTGGCTTCGTGTCACATCGAGGGCCCTCCTCGAAAGGATCACTGGGAGCTGGGTCCACTGTATGATGTATCGGCGCCCCACCTCCGTCGTCTTCGCAAAGATATATCGATTGATTCATTCTCCCGATATGCAACATGCGTCGAACGAAGCTGTCTTCAGCCTCTCAAGGGGGGTTGCCGATGAGCTGGTGCTAGCCAGCGTGCTGTCGTTCGTGATGGCAACGAACATTGGAGCCCAGATTGTCCCCACCCTCTTCGCTTCGGATGCCTCTATGGCGAAAGGAGCTCTTGTCAGCACGCCGCTTTCAGAAGAGGAGGCTGCCCTCCTGTGGATAACTTCGGATCGGAAGGGTGGATACTCGCGCCTGGACCCTGCTGCAAGGGCCCTCCTGAGGAGCGTGGGTGACCCGATGCTCGAGGAAACTAGGTTAGCAGGCCTTCCCCCTCTGCCCGCAAAGAATCCTCCTTTGAAGTTTGATTTCCTCGAAATCGGGCTAGGCACAGGTGTTGGCCAGGTCACGGCTTGCTGTCTTAGCCAGGGCATTGTGTGCTGCCCTCCGCTCGATCCTTTTGTCAGCAGGCAGTATGACCTCAGGAGCATTGATGTTATACATTGGGTAGTCAGCATGCTCCAGGAAGGTAGGATTCTCAGCGTCTTTGTCGTGGTCTCTGAGACCCACCAGGACCTGGGACTGAAGAGGGCTCTGGCGATCCTCCTATGCGCTCGTTCCTATGATAGAGCTGCTGCGGTGCTGGGGCCCGACCACCTTGAGCAAAATCAATCTGAGATCTGGGCTCAGGCTTGCAGTCGCAAAGGCACCGAGGAGATCACTTGCAAGCTTGGCTATGAAGGGGATTGCAGGGGTATTCTCGAGTCCTCGGGTCCAACCTCGCTCTTCAACGGTTGGATGAGGTGTGTAGGGCTGCCCGGGGCCCCTTAGGCATCAGCTATGGTCAGTTATCGGAGGAGATTGCCAGCCTCTTTACAGACCATTTGTTTGCCGGCAGGAGATTTGCCAGGGCACACCATGTCGAAGTCGCTGGCCTGGAGTCCCCCGTCCTCAACGACTTTCTCTCCTCTAGAGCCTGGGGTCTTGTCAAGGTTTGGTCTTGGAAGTACCCTGAGCACATAAACCCAGCAGACAGGGAAGATCGTCGTGTCTTACATCTGTTTGACTCTTCGGTGTCCCTCGCTGCGGCCACCAAGGGGCGAACTTCGAGTCACAAATTACGGAGAGTTCTTTGCCAAGTGAATGCGCTGGCGTTAGCAAAAGGTGTGTTCTGTGCTGAAGGCTTTGCGCCTACTCGCTTGAACGTTGCTGATGACCCCACTCGTAGCCACGAGATCAGAAGCCCTGCTGGAGCCTCTCTTGTGCGCGCTGTTCCCCCTGAAGTGCTTGGCCAGCTAGCTCGCATCAGGGTGCGCAGATTTGCTGCGAATTGGCTTCGGCTCGCTGTCCTTTTGACTTTCTGCGTGCCTTGCGGTAGCATTTCTGCCCCTCGGCTCCCTCATAGCGAGTCGACGTGTGATCCGACTGTGGACTCTTTGCCCCCTTTCTCCTCCTCCGGTGCAGGCACCTTCATCGCCGGCCCGGTTTTCTTCTCAAGCTCCACCTCCTGCGGAGCAGACTTCGACTTCAATTGGACTTCTGTGGATTTGTCGCCTCCGTCACTCGAGGAATCTGTCGATTGGACTTTCGTCAGCCTTGCCTGCCTCGCCTCCTACCTCCTTGCTTTCTGTCACTTCCCTGGCCGCTTTGTTTTCGGGGTTGGTTTGTTAATAAGCCTCTGCCGCCATGGATGCTCAGCAGCGCCCGCTGGTACTGGGTACGCGCAACGGGCTGCCGCCAGGGCAGCTACCAACCTGTTCGAACGACGCTCGGTTTTACCCAGAACGGACACGCATCGTCAGAGGAGATTGGCAGATTTCTCCAGATGGCTTGAAGATTCGAGCCAGTACTCCCTGGAAGAGATTGTTGGCGCCTCTGGTATTGGGCCGGAGGTTGTGAACACACTGCTCGTCGAGTTTGGTCAGCATCTTTTTCGGGAAGGAAGGCCGTATGGGCATTACTCGGAACTTATAAATGCCGTCGCAGCGGCAAGGCCCATACTCAGACGCCAGCTGACAGCTGCATGGGACATGGCGTTCAACTGGCTAGAAGTCGAGCCTCACGTTCATCACTTGGCTCTCCCTGGCATTGTCTTGATTGCCATGCTTAGTGTCTGCTTAGTCTGGGGGTGGACAAAGGAAGCAGGCCTCTTCTCACTTATGTGGGGAGGGCTATGCAGACCTGGTGAAGTGATTTTCTCACTTAGAAGACACCTCGTGCTGCCTGAAGATGTTTTAGGTAGCCAGGCCTTCGCTTTGCTGAGAATCGAAGAACCGAAAACCAGACGCAGGGCGGCAAAACATCAAGCAGCAAAAGTTGACCTCCCGGACCTCCTCGAAATCATGGTTATGTCATTTGCGGAATTACCACAAGGAGCACGGCTGTGGCCTTTTTCAGGCCAGACTTTGCGAGCTAGGTTCAGAAAGGTCTGCCTGGCTCTGGGCCTACCTACAGAGAAAAGCGAAGCTAGAAGTCTGGAGCTGGGGTCTTTCAGACCAGGAGGCGCAACATGGTTGTTGCAAAGCAGTGACAATCCTGAGCTGGTTCGAAGACGAGGTCGGTGGCTGAGCCCCCGAGTAATGGAAATCTACCTCCAAGAAGTGGAAGCGGCGACCTTTCTTTCAGACCAGCGTCCAGAAGTCCGTGCGAAGGTTCTCCAATGTGCCTCTGCTTTCCCCAAGATTCTGCGAAAAGCCAAGCAATGGTCCGAGGCGAAGGTTCCGGCTTCGTCTTGGTACTTCTTGTTTGGTAACCACTTTTGAGCGAAGAGTCGGAAGTTTGGGGAAGTATGGGGTCATGTGAGCTCACGAGTTTAAAGGCTGATACAGCTCCTTTGGCTTCAGCCTGCGAACTCTCCGAGTTTGATGGTTGATACAGCCCCTTTGGCTTCAGCCGCGAACTCTTCGGATCTACTCCAGGGCGCAGGTGAAAAAGAGAGGCAGAGCGACTGAGAAATAGTCGCGATGCTGAATCCTGAACCGCAAGATTTTCAGCTGCCCACCCGGCCCACCCGGGGTCATGTGAGCTCACGAGTTTAAAGGCTGATACAGCTCCTTTGGCTTCAGCCTGCGAACTCTCCGAGTTTGATGGTTGATACAGCCCCTTAGCTCACGAGTTTGAAGGCTGATACAGCTCCTTTGGCTTCAGCCTGCGAACTCTCCGAGTTTGATGGTTGATACAGCCCCTTTGGCTTCAGCCGCGAACTCTTCGGATCTACTCCAGGGCGCAGGTGAAAAAGAGAGCAGAGCGACTGTCGCACAGTAGGTACGAGCTTAAAGCATATGGCCGCTCAAGCTATGTGGATCGAGCAGGCCTTAGGCCTCCTCCAGTTGGGCATCAGCACCAATTGGTGGGGCTTAGGCTGCCCCAGCCATTGTCAGGGGTCGCTTCTTGTGGTGGGGCTTTGCTGGGCTTCGGGGTTTCTTTTGGGGGTGGTTTTGCCCTTGGCCTCCTTCCGTGAGGCCCTCTTTGCCGTCCCCATCAGGGTGCCTTCCTCCTCGCCTCAGCCTTTTTCCTCTCCACCGACCCGTGCTGCCGACTTGCGTCTCAGGGCATACTTGCATGAGCGATAGTGGCCTGCCAGAGGCCATCCACCACCTTGCCTCCTCGCTTGCACAGCTTTCTTTGGCAATCTAGGGGTTCTGATAGTGGTTGGTTGCTAGTAGACCCCAGCCTCCCCGTTGAGCCGGGTTCCTGTGTGGCTCCGGAGCCCCCTGCTGCCTCGTCTTCCGCGGCCCATCATTCCTCCCTGTCCCCTGCTGAGCTCACCAGCCTTTACAACAGCCTGGAGTCTGCTATCCCTGCTCTTCCTTCTCGGTGTGTGCACGCGTGCCGGGCCCTTACAGGTTCAGGTTCCTCTCCCGAGGCAAGAGCTTCTCGTGCGTGGGTTGCAGGCCACTGGGCCAGGCTTGTGTTGGCCGACTTGGTCCCCACTCCTCGGCCCTCCCCAAAGCTGCCCAACGCCATCAGGCCTCGCATCTATATCGTGCTGCGTGCCAGTGCCTTCGAGGGAGCTGCCCGGTTCTCTTCTTTCAAAGCCTTCAAGAGTGCCGTGGGCCCTCTGGAGAACTCGTCTACTGTGTGCCACGCCTTTGCTTCCTTGGCAGAGGCCGAAGTCTTCTGTGAAGCTGCTGGCTTCGACTTGCCAGCCGAGCGATGATGGAGCTCTCCACAGTTAGCGGACGGGGCTCTGACTTTCCTTGCCCTCTCCTGGCCCGACGAAGGGCGCACTTCGAACCTCCTGGAGGCCATTGCAATACCGGTCTTGAAGCGGCAGGAAGGCCTGCTCCTCTGTATCCCGTGCGGCTTCTTAGCTCTGTCGGTCCTAGACGCAGGGGCAGAAGCAGATGCGCTGGCCACTGTGGGCCACTCTCGACAGGTGAAGGTGCCCTTTGGCATGGCCGACGAGCAGGGGACAGAGCAGCCTGTGGACTTGGAGGCCTCTCTTCTCCTTGTGGATTTTGGGAGCGGGGTCCTCCCCCAACTTCGGGGCTGGGCGAGGATTTTGGGCTCGACAGCGTCTTTCCTTTTATTCTGCACCACCCCCTGTCAGACGATCCCCTAGGAGCCGCTCGCGAATGGCTGGCCGAAGCCCCTCACGACCGCCTGGCCTTTTACTCAGCACAGGAGGAGCTTCCTCTTGCACAGGTGAAGCCCAAAGGCAAGAGGTCACCACAAGCCAAAAAGCGGGTTACTACGGCGGACCTTGCCGCCCAGATGACCCACCTCACTGCTTTGCTTCCTCAGCTCACCGAGCAGCTGACCACGATGCAGTCAAGGCAGGATGCTCTGGAGAAGCAGGTGCAAGGCCAGCCGGCCCAGGTGGATGTTCCGAAGCTTCCCCATCAGCAGCACTTTGTTCCGCTCAAGGGGCCGGGGATCACACTGGGCAAGCAGGCTTCGCTTTTGGGCCCCCCTCCTCGCACGCGACCCCTACTAGAAGCAACACCGGCCGTTGCTGCAGGCGTGGGCCCTCTTCCTTTGGCCGCCTCTCCTGTGATCGACGGCCCCCAGGAGCCCTTTCAAAGTGCGCTTTTGCAACAGAGCCAGGCATTGTCTGCCCTTGTGGGCCACCTGGTGGCACAGCAAGAAGGGGGGCTGAGCGATTTGACTGCCTCCTCCTCCAGCAGCATCGGGGCCAAGGGTGCAGCCAAGAGGGAGAAGCTTCAGGCGGCATTGGCCGCAAGGTCGGGCGACTTTCTCTCTGTTCTTCAGGCAGCGGCTCGCCGGATGCAGCCTTCCCAGCCGATCCCAGCATCGCTAAGCGAATGCTCCTCGCAGGTGTCGATGTGCCAATACCTCGAACGGTTCGGCACCTTTTCGGGCCAGCGCGAGGCCGGCTACACGATGTGGTGCCTGGCTCATGTGATGGATTGCCTGGCACAGGAGGACATAGCAGGGGCAAGGGAGTTCCTGGCCCTAACTTTTGTGGCCATGGACCAGGCCTCCATCGACGGGGGCCGATGGGACTTTGCCTGGTTGTTGACTCTGCTAGAGGAACCACCAATGCAGATGTTCAGGGGCATGGGCCAGGTTGCAAATCCCAGGACCCGGGCGTTTTCTCCACTGTCGCCGGTGTCTTGGACCACTTGTGCTTTGCAGTACCTGAAGGAGGTCGATCTGATATCGAGCCGCAGGCTGGAGACTCTCGGCCAGCATCGGGCCCCTGCCGCCACACCCGCCGCGGACGACGTGCAGGCACCTCCTGCCAAGCCCCGCCGTGCTCCGAAATACCCTCGCAAGCCAAAGCCAGAGGCCCCCGCCTGAATCTTTGCAGCAGGCCGCCCCCTGGACTTTCGCGCCCGGCCGCTTCTTCGTCAGGTTTTGGCTTTGACCTCAAGGTTTCCTTTGCCTCTTGGGTTGGGGGCCTGCTCAGGGCCGTCCTTCGCACTCGGACGGTCTTTGCTTCGTTCTTGTGTTCTACTTTGCATCTGCCCAGGCTTTCCCGGCCTGCACCGCCTTCGGGGGTTCTGTTCCCGCTCCCCCTGCCATTTGAAGATGCTTTTAAGCGTTTCTCTTTGGACTGCAGCAGCCGCTTTCGCAGGCGTGTGATGCATCGCCGCCTGCTGCACCTAGTCTGTATGGGGCTCAACTTCCTCCACGCGGGCTGTGTGCCAATACCTCTTGCTGCTCTCCAGCGGCCCCCCAATGCAGCACAGCAACGGCTTGTCGCGCACATGGGTCGGCATCTGAAGGCGTTCGGTGCCTCTGCCAATGAGTTCGCTCTCCCTGACTCGGGCCGCCGCAATCCACAATTAATTGCAAGACTTTCGGAGCCGGTGGCCTTCCTCACGGCTGCCTCTGCCAACACGGGAGATGCTTATGCTGACCTGTCAGGTACTGCTGTCCCCACGCACAACGATGCCTTTCCTGGCTTGGAGCCTTTTAGTTCCCTGAACGTTTCTCGTTTGAAGCTTTCGGGCCATGGCTCCTGGAACCCTGGGCCCTTCTTGTCTGATGAGCTCTTCATGGCTTTCAACGAGCCCCGCTCCCTTCTGCACGGGGGCCCTCCACCTGAGGATTTTGTGCCGGTCTGGACTCGGGAAAGTCTTCGGGAAACAGCCGCCCTGGCTTCTCTTTGGGACGGCCTTGGGCTTTTGCACTTCGAGCCTGCGCGGCTTCGTGCTTCTGAGTCTTACCGGCTAGCACGGGCCTTCAACTCCTACAAGAGCCCAGACAAGGACAGGATGATAATCGATCGGCGGGGGCAGAACCATGCCGAGTCCCGCCTGGCCGGCCCCAGTCTGTTCATCCCGGTCGGCCCCATGCTGAGCGTGATCGAGGCCGACCCCTCTTGCGAACGCGTGCTCTGCTCCGTCCAGACCGCAAAGATTTTTATCACCAGTTCGCGGCCAGCCGGCCGAAAGCTTCACTCACTACCTTGGGCCCCGCCTTGCCTTTTTCTTGGCTCTGCCACACGGCTGCTTTTGCTCGTCTTCAGGCTGTGCGACCTTCTTCCCGGGAGCAGCGATTGGATTGCTTCTCCTCCCAGCCAGCTGATGATGCGAGGAACCCGCTCCTCTTTGAGGAGGGCTCCCTCCTGGTTTGCTTCCGAGTGATTGGTCAGGGCGATCACCTAGGTGTCGAGTTTGGCAGCGCAGCCCACGGGGCTTTGCTGGAGTCCGTGGGTTTTCTGGGCGATGCTGAGCGTTTGTGCTCTAACAAGCCTTTCAAGGGCGACCGTTGCGCCCAGGGTCTGGCGATCGACGATTTCTTCTCGGTCTGTGTGCAGAGGGATGATGATAGGGCCGAGCCCGTGTGTAATGAGCATGTTCGGCGAGCTAAAGCTGCGTACCAGCGGGAGAACCTTGCGGGCTCGGATGATAAGGATGTTTGGGGCGAGCCTGTCGCCAAAGTAGCCGGCGCCGAAATCAACTCAAGCAGGGAGGCCCGTAACCTCGGCCTTATCACCCTGGCTTCTCCTGCCTGCAAGAGGCTTGCTTTGGCAGTGGTGTCTCTTGAAGCGGCCAGGTTTTCGCAAATCACTGACGGCCTGATGCTGTCACTGCTTGGCAGCTGGACCTCCACACTGCTGTTTCGGAGGCCTCTGATGTCGGTGCTCCGGGCCGCCTTTGAGGTCGTTCCCTGTGGCTCTCTGTCCTCCCCCGCTCGGCTGCCGAAGAGCTGGTGCTGCTTAGTGTTTTGTGCCCGCTTGCTGCTGCTGAGCTAAGTGCTCCTCTCAGTCCCACGGTTCATGCCACAGACGCCTCGGAGCACAAAGGTGGCTATGTGTCGGCCCCAGCTGGACTTTCGCTGGCCCGGGCACTCTGGAGAACTGCCTCAAAGAAGGGTGGCTACAGCCGGCTTTGGTCCCGCGAGGAGGCCACTCTTGCAAGGTTTACGGACAGGGAGGTTTTTGACCTTAGGCTCGTCAAGGATGAGGGTGTCTGCCATCCTGGGCGCCCCCTTGCCTACTACTTTGACTTCATTGAGGTCGGCGGGGAGCTGTTAGCTCCTGCCTGTCTGAGCTAGGTCTTCGCACAGGCCCCACCATCAGCTTCGCCTTTAGCCCGGCCTATGATTTACTTTCGGTCAGGACCATAGAGTGGCTGATTCACCTCATGCGCCAGCGGAAGTTGAGGAGCCTCCTCATCTTGCCGCCAGTTTCTGACTTTGCTGCTGGCTTTTGGCCTTCGTGGCGCTCGCCAGGCGAGCCAAAGGGACGCCCACCGCTGTCTAAGAGGACTGCCTTCTCCAACGCCCTTGCTCTACGGTGCCTCTCCTTGGCCTTTGCCGCCCTCCAGTTTCAGGTGATCTTCGTGTTGGTTCAGCCAACGGCCTCGGTCATGTGCCACCTACCTGAGTGGGGTCGACTTTGCTCACTTGGGGCCTCTCAGTTTGCTTCATGCACGAGGCTTTCTGGACCGTGCCCCCACGCCCACTTGTTCCTTGCCGCCGGCATCGACCTTTCTCCTCTTGGCCGTCTTTGCGATTGCGCCCCCTCCTTTGTACAACCCGGGGCTGCCTCGTCGCGTTCTTCGGCCTTTCTTTCTCCTGTGTTGGCCTCCGCGTTGGCCCATGAGTTTAGCTGTGCCCTGCGTCGGGTGTCCCATGTGGATTCTCAGACCCGCCTCCTCACGGATGGTCTTGAGAACCTGGTCTTGAATGACGTCGTGCTTTCCCTGCCTTGGCATGCTGGTGATGACTGGCATTGGCGCTCGTCAGCGCATATCAACATCCTGGAGGCTGCCTCTATTTTGCGCCTGCTGAAGCGTCTTGCGGCTTTTGGCCCCAGCCGTGTTGTGGTGCTTGTCGATTCTTCTGTTGCCTTCCACGCCTGTGCAAAGGGCCGCAGCCCTTCCCGTGGCCTCACTCCTGTGCTTCGGAAGATCGGTGCGGTCAGCCTTGCCTCTGGACTTTTCCCTTCCTACCACTTCGTGCCTACCAGGCTCAACCCGGGAGACTGCCCTACACGAGACCTCCCGCTGCCGCCTGTTGCGCCTTCCTCCTTTTGGCCTTCCCTTTCCGCTGACGAGCTCGGCTCCTTTGCCTGCTCATCGGGGCGCCTCCTGGATTTAAGCCTCACCTTGGCTGGCGCGTGCTTCGTCGTACCACAAAGCCTTTCGACTCCTCCCTTGGCTACCCTGGTGAGGGCCCGTCCTTCAGGGTGTTCAGGGTTTTTCTGGTTCTTTGGGTTGCTGTAGCTGCCCCGAGCCATGGCCTTCGCCCCCGCAACGCTGCAGACGAGAGGCGTTCCCGGTCCCGTGCTGCAACAGTGCTTGCCGAGGGCCGGCCCGTGCAGCCAGCGACGCAGAAGAGGAGGGAAAGGCTACTGCAGGCTTTCCAAGATTGGCTGCAGCAACAAGGGACGTCCTTTGTGGAACTTCTGGAGCTGGAACCGCACGTCACCAAGAAGCTTAACAACTGGCTGGTGCTTTATGGCCGGCAGCTTTTTGAAGCTGGCTGGCCATATTCGCACTTTTCGGAAGTTATCAATGCCGTCTCCGCGCGGGAGCCGGCATTGAGGAGGAGCTTGCAACCAGCATGGAACCTGGCCTTCACGTGGCTCCGCGAGGAACCTCACAGCCACCACGTGGCCTTGCCCTGGCAAGTTCTTTTAGCTGCTGTTACCACGGCCCTCATGTGGGGCTGGCCTCGAGTTGCAGGTGTCTTGGCTCTTACCTTCGGCGCTTTAATGCGCATAGGCGAGACTTTGGCGTCACGACGAAGCGACTTACTGCTGCCTGAGGATGTTGGCCACACAGTGTCTTACTGCCTGGTCTCCATCCAAGAGCCGAAGACAAGGTTCAAGGCCGCCCGGCATCAGTCGACGAGGCTGGACCAGCCCGACCTCCTTGCAGTGGTCAGGTTGGCCTTTTCAGGCCTGGCTTTCGGCTGCAAGCTCTGGCCCTACAGCGCTTCGACTTTGAGGAGCCGGTTTGATGCTATTATGTCACGCCTCGGCACAGACAAGTGGGAGGGCCAGGGAAAGAGCAAGCTGGACCTTGGCTCCCTCCGGGCAGGGGGAGCCACTTGGCTGCTTCAGTGTAGTGAGGATGCAGAACTGGTTCGGCGTCGAGGTAGATGGCTAAACAGTCGTACCATGGAGATTTATATTCAGGAAATCAGCAGCCTGCAATTTCTTCATAAGCTGTCAAGCCACTCGCGACACCTGCTGTTCTCCCTCCTGGAAAGCTTTCCCGAAGTGCTGCGCCGCGCTGCTGCTCTTCAGACGTCTTCTACACCGACCTCGGCTTGGTTTGCTCGGTTTTCCGGTGGCTAAGCTTGGCGGTGTTGGGTGGAGTTTGTGGTTGGAGGAAAACCCGGTGCTCGTGTTCACTGGGAAGTTTGCAGACGCAGGTGCAAAACAGAAGCTGCCAGTCGCGTTGCGAGTACCTGTCGCACAGTAGGTACGAGCTTAAAGCATATGGCCGCTCAAGCTATCCCTCCTCACCCGCCCTCCGCCACCGGAAAACCCGGTGCTCGTGTTCACTGGGAAGTTTGCAGACGCAGGTGCAAAACAGAAGCTGCCAGTCGCGTTGCGAGTACCTGTCTAATCTGTTTAGGTCTTCGTTTGACACCCCTCTACCCGAGAACCTCAACACGAAACCACCCCGAGGGTTTCAGAAAGGCTTGAGACGGTGTTAGGTAGGGCTTCGTTAGGGGTTCGTTGGGGGTTTAGGGGGGGGTAGAGCCCTACAAAAACCAGCTCTTCACCCGGAGCTCGAGACCTGAGGCTGCTAACGGCCGCCGCGCGCCTGGTGATGAGCGAGACAGCAGGCTCTCGGTGCCATAGAGCTGCCGTCGAGGCGTTCGTGGCCTCTATCTTAGTGAACCCGAGGCCCGTCCATGCTTTCAGGTGCAGAACGAGGTTTTCTTTCCGCTCTTTCGTCGAGAGACTGCACCCCTCAACCGCTAACCTTAAACTCCGAAACCCTTAAGGACCCCGTAGCGTGAGTCCCTCGAAGCCTTGATCCAACCCCAACTGCCACAGTCTTAAAGGAGGCCCCAAAGCTGAAAAAAAGGCCCCCCTAAACCCCCCAAACCTCAAAGCCGGAAGCCCCTGAACCCTGACCCTAGAATAACCCTAAAGTATAATTCATAAAACAACAAACCCATCGAAAACCCTAAAGACCGTCGACAAGCATGGAAGCCCTGAGCTGCTTGAGACTTTCAACCGTAAACCTTCAAGCCTAAGCCCCCAAAAGCAAAGCCTCAACCCTAAGCCCTCAACCCTACACCCTCAACCCTAAACCCTAAAACCTAAGCAACCCGAAGCCCCCAAAAAAGCGAGCCTCCACCCTAAGCCTGTGCAGACCACGGGCACGTGACCGAGGAGGACCTCCGAGCCTGGGCACCGAACCGGACGAAGAGGGATTTGGGGATTTAGGGTTTAGTAGCGTTTAGGGTTTAGGGATTTAGGGTTTAGGGTCTCATCCGCCTTTTTTTGGGGGGAGGATTGGGGTTTGAGGGTTTAGGCTGTCGGGATCAGGGCTTGGGCGGAGTATTGGGGACTTGCAGTGTCTAAATGTCCCGAGCAGAATAAGCCCCCGTGCGCCCTATTG